ATTCTGTCGACATGTCATGAATAATTCTATAGCTATATATCTATAGAGGTATAACTACTTGGAAAATTCGAGCGATAAGTTTTCCATTCTATTGACAATATTCTGTCGACATGTCATGAATAATTCTATAGCCGTGTGCCTATAGAGCTATAACAACTCGGAAAATTTGGCTGATAAGTTTTCCATTCTATTCAAAAACATTTTGTCGACATGTCATTAATAATTCTATAACTATTTATCTATAGAGCTATAACTACTCGGAAAATTCGAGCGATAAGTTTTCCATTCTATTCAAAAACATTTTGTCGACATGTCATTAATAATTGTACAGCTTTAAACAAAAGATGATGTTCGATAGATAGTCCACCCGGGCCTTAAAAAATCATTTGAGTCCATACAAAATCACATATTCGTCTCCCTTATCATGTAAACCGACGAAATATTGAAAAACTCATCAAATTTCGGGGTAAAACAAATAATTAGCTCATTAGATGGATTATGACTGGAGGTGAATAGAATTTCCAGCTTTTATTTAACAAAAAAATTTGTCCAACCCACTCCCCACTGCATTGATACACGAAATCCATGAAAATGTTCTTTCTATTGAATTAATTGGACAGATTATTCGATTAATAATCCCATCGAATATTCAACGAATTACCGGTGGTATTAAATAAACGGAATTTAAGTTAAAAAGGGAAAAAACCGATATTTCTGAAAAAATCCAAAATTTAATCTCTTCAAAGTTTCGTTGAAATGACAAACTGAAATGGTTCCGAGCAAACTCAATTATTAATCGAATTGACAAAAAAAGAAGTGGCCTCAATTGATTCATTTTACAACAGTGAATATTTAGCTAATGCCCTTTCGCGAAGAAAAGAGCAAAATGTAATTCTATTTCGAATTTCAAATCTATCGCTGTGACATTAAACCAATAAGTTTTGCATAATGCAAAAAATCTCAAGAGAAAATGATTAAAATCAGAATTACTCCGATAATTTCTTCGCGAAGAAACAATTCGAATAATTCTCCCGGTATTCGCTGATTAAAATCAAAATTATTGCCTCAATCACGGCCCAAGAGCCTTCATTTATTATCAATAATAAACTGAGTAAGAAAAGATGGCAGAGGTCAATAAAGAAAAATTAAAAAGTTCAACTATCCACTCGGTCGTACACTCCATCGTAAATAGTAGTAGAAACTTCGCTTCGTTCCAAGGATGCTGGATAAATACAAAACTTTGGACTCATTCCCCTTCAATCCCCTGCCCCATGCAATTAGAACTTACGTAGTGTTTGCCTTTGTTTGATCATTCGATAACAAGTCAATCTGTTTGATTGGGGATTTCTCATTGTCTCGAAATAAAAAAACCCACAATTATAGGAAACTCTAAAATTATTCTATGAATTTCTCTGAACATCAGGTATCTCTAGGAAATATCGGAACATATATTAATATTAATTCTGTAGCAGTTCCTGAGTTTTCAATTTTTCAAAGTTCTATGAAAAATTTATGTAAAATTCATGAATAATTATGAAATATGACATGAAAGGCAAGTGCAGAGTGCAAAATGGCTGGTCGGCTCTTTGCACTTTCCCGGACTTTAGGGAACGTCTAAAAACCACTAAAAGACTAAAGAGTAAAAGACAAGAAAAGGAGAATTCTATTTTTTTAATTCTATAGCGGGTATGTCTACGAAAAATCTAAACAAATATTTTTTATAACCGTTTAAAAATATTCCATACTATCGTTAAAAAATTTATTATAAACACATGAATAGTTATGAAATAACAACTTGATACGTCATACGTTTATAAAAAATAACGAAAAATGTTTCAGTTTCCAAATTCATGATAAAATAGTTCGTTCTTAGAGTAATCTTACGCGCATGAAAAATTCTATATATTTAACGTAGAGTATAAAAATAAACATTTCACTTTCGGATTACGTGAGTTGTCACGTAATTTTTCCACTATTTTTAACTCCGTGGTCGGAACATAACAATGAAATCAATACGTTTTTATCCGATACCTCGTTGCTTGAATAAAACACTGTATGATATTGCTAAAAGAAAAATATTCGCTCTCCAATCTTGTGCCTTTACTTACAGAGCAAGAAAAAAAAATCACACCTTTTTCTTTTCGTCATTTCCAGCTGAGACAGAGGAACACGATGACGAACACTGGGAAGCGAGTGTACGGAGTGCCAGCATGAACCGAAATTGTGCCACATCTCTACTTTTATTTGCACTCGGCAGATCACTAGTGGATCTATTGTCTGAGCGATAAAAATTCCAACGAAGATTCAAAACTCCTTTGAAATACCACTGCTACCAGTAAAATTCACTTCAATCCGCTCTACTCGAGTTTTTCAACTGTTAAAGGAAAACCAAAGAGTTAAAAGACAAATTCCACGATAATTAGTCACTCGATTCTGCACTTTTGCGTCTTTGATGAATATAAAGCCGTCTCGGTATCTTGTCAATTGTATCGTTTCACATTAATGGGAGATGAAAATACAGAGTTGGGAGAAAGTTGATGCTCGTTTGAGGACTCCTGTTCAGCTCTCAAAGAGCTAATATTTTTTTAAGGAGATAATGTACTTTGGAATGGAATCAAAAGATTTTTCTGAACTCACACACCAGTTGCACGCTCATTTTCTGCGTTATATGGGATTCTATAGAATTATTTTATGGTTTTCTCTGGAGTCTTTACGACTTCATTCCTATTATTCCTATTTGCAAGACAATTTGTAGATAATTATACAGGCTTGCGATTCACAATAACTCCATAGAGCCCCGTCTATAGAATGACATAAACGATTCAGGTACATGTAGCTATTCTTGAGAAGATGCAACAACTGTTTAAAGTTAAAAATATTCTATAGCAACTATAGAAAATTTTAAATCCTCTGCGGAATGTCTCTCGCAGATAATTAAAAAAATAAATTCTATACCCTACAATTCTGCTTCATAGTATTTTCTATAGAACCGGTTAGTTTATAGATTGTTGTTGTTTCGTTTCTGCAAATATTTGCCAATAAAAAAAAAACCTATTTGGACTATTGAAGAATTATAGCTGTAGGTGTATTAGATGTATTAGACGTGTGAATTATTTCCACGATAGATTCTCGCCCATAAAATGTTTTCGATGTTTAATTAATTATTTAATAAAATTCTATAGAATAATCCGTGGAGTGAATAACAAATGGTGTGTCCAAGCAATCGATGGGCTCATTATATCAATTCAATTGGAATAATCTGTAAAAATAAATCATATTAATTTTCCCACTAAAAATAATCCCCTAAAACCATCACGCAATTATTCTCACCCGATATATATGTCTGCATACATTTGTTTAACCCGTCATTTACCCCGTTTATTTATTTATCCATCTGTTTTTTTTATTTTTACTTTCAAGCAAGACTTATTGTTGCAAAACACACGAGACTAACAACCCCCAGATAAAACACTGAATTTTTATTTTTATTTCAGTCTCCACTTCTGGCTGTTCTGCTCTCTCCTCTTAGCAAACTGCGGACTGCCTCCACGGTTTTTAATTAAATGTCCTGTTCTTTGTGGCCATTTGATTTCTCTTTTTCATACTCATTTTATTTGAGCCTCGTGCCTCTGTTTCTGCACTCGTTTGCTACAAAGAAAAAAAACGTGTCGCATTCCCCACCTCCAGGTGGCACCGACCACTCGAGGGTGCACGCATGCATTCATATGTTTTATTTAGGGGTCGTTTAAATTTTTCCAAGAGCATGTACAGTGAAACAATCGAATATTTTCTTGTTTATGTTTTTCATTCATAGTTTATAGATTAATTAAGGGTAAATCTGGGGATAAATGCCCCTAACATGTAAATATATTTAACGATTCAACAAATTTAACAAATTCTATCAAATGCTATTGAGACATATTCAATGATTTTCTATAGAAATATCGAGACCCCAATATATCGTCCTGCTATAGAATCCTCGATGATATATTTACGAATTTGCTATAAGGATAGCAATATTTATATAGAATATTTATAAAGTATTTATAGAAGGACTTAACAAATTTTATAGAATACTATAGAAATATATTCAACGATTCAGATAGAAACCCGAATATATCGTAAATGTATTTTTTATAATCTATAAATATATTCGTAAATATACTATATTATAAATTATATTAATTCTATTGTAGGACGATATACTCGGGTTTCCATGTGACCACAACGAATCGTTGAATATATTTCTATAGCATTCTATAGAATTTGTTGAACCGTTCTATAAATAATTTATAAATATTCTATAGTCAGGTTATAGAATATATATATAACCAATCTATAAATATATTTATGAATAGTCTATAATATATTTACGAATTAGAATTCTATATACTCGATAGAAAAGAAATTTCGTTATTTTTTCTTTAAAATATATCTACAAATTTCAATAAATGTTTCTATAACACTTTTATATGATCAATTAAAAAAATTGAAATTAAATGAAATGTGAAGAAGGTTTTCTATTGAAATTAAAATTCAAAACTCTTTATTCAGAATTACAATGAATTATTATTGCAATTTTCTAAAGTCTCCAGGAGTACAAATAAATGAATGAATAAAGTAGTTTTGACAAGTTGGGTCAGACATGATAAAAATTAAAGTAAAAATGTCCGTCAGTGGAATTTGCCTCGATCTATGATTTTGGGGGATGAAAGACTACGTGATAAAATTCAAAAATAATCCCGTCCATTTCTCTACTTTATCTCTGTGTTTTCACGGGCTTTGAGATAAAGAGTTGAATGAAATATTTTTTTTCAGTTGGTCCCTTTGATATTGAGTTTTATTTATGTGGTTTGTGTGGATGAAGGGATGACTCTTGAGAAGCTTTTAGACAGTGAGGAGTTTCGGGGAAGTATCACTTCCTCTCGACGATGGACAAACAGAGGACTCAGACAGCGTTTTCATCTTCGAGACTGATCGATTTCTCAGCCACTTCACGATACTGGACTATTCTGGGTATCGTTTTACTGGAATTTTCCGGGGAAAATCGAGGAAATTCTCGAGGGGATTCTCGAGAAAATCGAAGGGGAAGGCAAAATTGTTGGGATATTTTTGGATTCGTTCTCGGTGGATTGAGTACTGACGCGGTATGTCAGCCCCCAAATCCTCAACTTAGGGAAGCTCACTATTTCAGCTATTTCCATTTGCAAGTCATCATTATCATTATTATCTATTGCTATCTCTTCTGCCAGATTAATTCCATAGGCATAATTAATCAATAATGCATTGTAGATCAAGGATGAAATTAATATTTTAATATAAAGATTTCAATAATTTAGTAAAAAAAACCGGTGAAATAGATAATAATCAGTTGTTTTGGATGAAATTTATTTATCTCGGTGAATCCATCATTCTCCAAACGTCATAATTTTTTTATATTCTCGGAAAATTTAATAAATTGTATATGATAATTTTTGCGAGTGGTTTTTTTAGGTACATTTTAAATGACGGTTAGATGAACTATTGAACATAATTTTCACTTTAAATACGATTTCTTAGATGTAATTTGTGTTTATGTTCTCGTGGTTGTTGCATGTAAGGAAAAAATTCTCTTACCAGCCACCCAATTTTTCTCTACATGGATTTAGCGGTGGAAAACTAGATAGCCAATTCGTAATTTCAGTTTAACTGGAGTTGATTCCATGGCAGAAAGAGAGATGTGGCCTGGGGATTTTTTCGGTGCGAAAAAAAAAGAGGACAACCGCAGAGACCGGGGCCACAGAATGTCGGGTTATAGAGTACCAAGTGATTGAATCTGCGGCTTCAACAACAGCTCATGCATTTTTATGGGATTTAAATATTGAAAATCCCTCGATTCTGTCTCATTAAGGATTTAAATCGTCAATTCCATTTTGAACGATTAACGACGAATTAGGTCAGTTTGGTACAGGTGAAAAAACCTGCTCTCCTGATTTTCTCCATCAGCTTAAAAAGCTTTTTTCAACTGATGAAGGACTTTACGGCAGAATGAAAGTGTCCGAATAAATTCACTCAATTAACCACTTCAAATAGAAAAAAGAGGAAATCGAATTTTTATATCTTTACAGTACTAAATTGGCAGATCAGTAATCGAGATTTTTTACAGTTTGATAACCAAAAGAGTCATATTAAGGTTGTTGTCGCGTAGAATTTTTTTTCGACAGTTTTCGTTAAAAATTTTATGGTGAATAGTTTGAAAAATTAGCAACAAAATGAGCCTTTTCCGTTTGCAATTGACCGTTTTGAACTTGAGATATAAATTTTTGAAATTCGAGTGATTTAACACGTGTTTAAATGGAGTTTTGCCGATTAGAATTTTTTAAAAATCAACGACTCGACAGTTTTAGAAATAAAAAAAACGTGGAATATACATCGTGGGAGGAAATACAGAAAAAAAAAATCAAATCGATTGACCGTTTGGTTTACGGAATATAATTATCGGAAATTCATAAATTTATATAATTGAAAATAGTTAATATGGAAAATATATAGTTATGCTTTAGCTATCCATGCACAATGCAATCAATCAAGTGAGACTATATACCGCTAAAGGATTATGTTCTAAACTGGCCCGTTTTACAGCGGATAAACTTTTTACAGAGACTGTCGCGCGACAACCACCTTAACCAGTGGTTATTCGATTTACGCAACATTTACGCATCATTTAAGACTAATTCCACCTCAAAACGCCCATCGCCTTAATAATTATCAACAATTTTCTTATCGCAATATTTTTAATAAATTTTTTATTCACTTACAAACGGTTATATACTGTATATACCTGATGTCCGGAGTTATTTATCTGGGAAAAAAAATATTCTGGACAAAATCTTCGGGTCGAAATCGTCCAAAACAAAAATTGTATCACTTCTCCTTCGTTTTGAGTCGTATAATCTTTTTCGGTGGCTTATTTTCGTCGTTAGAGTAGCTGTTGTATTTTTTGGTTTTGTCGTACTTCATGTGCGTGAGGAAAGTACGTATTCTATTTGAGCTAGTACAGGGGCTCTCGTTGAAGTATTTCTTTTTTTCACTTCTGATTCAGTTGATCCGTCGGTTTTGTTTACTGTATTATTCGTTGTGGTTTGACTTTTGCAGTGGGGATTATACGAGATTTATTATTCAAAAGTATTCGACAAGAAAAGGACAGATAGAGATTACATATTTGCGTTGAAATTGTTGCATTGAATTGATTCGGTGGTCTGCGAGATGACAGCCGTTGGTCAACCGTCCAACGTATAACATTATTAATTTATTTTTATGTTTCAATTTTCACTTTAAATACGATTTCTTAGATGTAATTTGTGTTTATGTTCTCGTGGTTGTTGCATGTAAGGAAAAAATTATCAACGGGGACTATACGAGATTTATTATTCAAAAGTATTCGACAAGAAAAGGACAGATAGAGATTACATATTTGCGTTGAAATTGTTGCATTGAATTGATTCAGTGGTCGACGAGATGACAGCCGTTGGTCAACCGTCCAACGTATAACGTTATTAATTTATTTTTATCTTTCAAGGGATTTCTCATGAGGGGATTTTGACCGTGGGATTTTGTATGGGAAATTTTAGTGTGGGGGAATAATTCCTAGAACTGTTTGGAAAATTGGAAAACACTTGGAAAATTCAATATTCAAAGTCTTGGAAATATTTATCCTTTATCGGACGACTTTATATTTTTTGACATGATGGAACGCGGGAAAAAAATATTTACAACAGTTTGTAAAAGATATAAATTTCCAAGATTTCACCGTCGAATTCAGTTCCACTCGATCGATCATGTGTCGCCTGTCAAATATTTCGCATCCCTCCACCCACTGTCAACTTCAACCTCCCACTCTTACACGTCACTCCCATCACTCGAAATTGACATGTCCCCTTCATAAATAAAACAATCACGGAATTATGAATGATTGAGTGTACGTGTCCGTTAATGTATTTAAAAAAATAATTAGTAAAAGTGTAATAGAGGGGAAATTGTTAGTAAGAAAAAATATAGGAGTTATGGACGTGCGACAGAAGTTCCGCTCGGACTATTTTCATCGGCTGGTGAGTAAAAATTAATTATCATTAGTGTTGATAGTAGAAGTCACAGTGGTTTCGTTCCTTATAATAGATATGGAGATTTATCATTGCTGACAGCGAATTAAGGTCGGTTCTGCAAGTGGGACGACAGTGTGGTTTTGTTACATTTTTCATGGGCGTTCTGATTCTCGTCACGTTGGCTTGTTCAGTGATGGTAATTTATCGATTCGTTGAGGTGTAACTGTCATTCAAATTATTTGATCGAGGGTCTTTGGGGGAGGGCTTGGGGTTTTTTTTTCACTGAGATTCATTTATTCACTTGATATCGGCTGTCGCCCATAGAGCTGCCAAGATACTATTGATAATTCATGTTACAGACTGATTTTGAAGGCTCTGTTGTCAGTTGGTGGTAATTCGATTATGGTATTTTTGTTCGTCTTTAATTCTTCATAGGAAAATTAAATTTTTTAAGGCTAAAGGAGATTTCATTCGAGACTTTAGAGTCTCAACTCCAACTCTCAAAAGTCTTGACTTGAGATTCTCAAGCCCTCAATCCTATTCTAAAAAGGACACACTTGACACAATCGATTATCTCGAAAATCTCGAAACCATAAGCGACGATTCCTGATTGGTCCACCGAAAGTGGCGCGCGATTACAAAATCGTACATTTTCCCATTCTAAAAAGGACACGCTTGACACAATCGATTATCTCGAAAATCTCGAAACCATAAGCGACGATTCCTGATTGGTCCACCGAAAGTGGCGCGCGATTACAAAATCGTAAATTTTTTACAGAAATCGTTTCATACCGGTATCTCGTTCTTAAAAAAACCAAAAAATTAATCGAAATCTTCTTAAAGTCTCACATCAAATCCCAACTCTCCCACACCTTCATCTTGCGCTATTTTTTTTAAATAAAAAAAAAATGTTCTATAATTTCTATTACATATTTATATTGAACGTAATTAATTAGAAAATGCAACTGGCGATTGCCCGATTGTTTATAATATGAATTTTTTGTCATTTCCATTGTCTCATCTTCCCCCAATGAAAAACCGTCGGAAAATTCGCATCGGTGGTATTGCAGAGTACAAAGATCACCCAGTCGAATGAAATGTTGTGTCTTTCGCTGCAGAATCAAGCAAACGAGGTAAATAACTCCGTTTTTTCCTCTCTGCCCTCCCCCTCCTCATCCCCTCCTCTGAATAAACATGTACACGGGCCATTTGGGATCGTTGCAGAAATTTCCGAGGAAGCGCAGTATTTTGAGGGTGAAGCCAGCATACAATTGCATTCACCAACACGTAAGTCCAAGTCTTACAGTTCCGACTCAATTGTCCTCCGCGCCTTTTCTTCGTTCCCCTCTCCTCATACCCGTTGGATGAAATATGCTCAGGGTGAGACAACGGTATCTCTGGAATGGGGAGCAAAGAAATAACGGAGAAAAACACGTGAAAAGTTTAACCAACGAGACCCTTAATTTTTCAGCTGCAGAAGACCTTCGTAAGTCTGGAAAAAATGAAGCAAACTGTGAGTATTTACCTCATGATCTCACGGGATTTACAATATTTTTTAATGCACTTTCATATTCTGCTCCCTTTATTTATTTTTTTTTCATTCATCCCCGCGGGATTTTACATCGTTAGGCGCACAAAGAGTCACTGGAGATCGACATGATGAGGAGTAAAATATCCTGCATCATGAAACTGATGAGTTGAATGGGATTATCGTGGAGTAAATGGAATAGATGGATTTATAGAATTTCCTCGGTGATATTCATCAGTTAATCCCTATTCATCAAATCTTCGAATTTCATCATTCACTCGGAACTGCTGGAGAAGCTGATGAATCAAGGAGTTATGCTCACTAGATTTGACGGGACCTCTCTTTGAATCAATTCAATTTCAGGCATTTTATATGCGGAGGGCATTCATAAATTATCCTGATGCTTGTTACAATCAATTTTTTTAGAGAAATTTATTGCAGTGAGTGGCGCTATATCTCGAGAATTTCGAGATATCTCGAGATCGATTTCCTCTCTCTTTTTTGTGTAAGGAACGAAAGTAAATTGTCATTCTTTCCATACTTTACACTTTAAATGAGTAATTTCATTCCAAATTTCCGTCATTATTTGAATATTTGAGATTTTTTGAGATTTTGCTACGACCTTGTGGTGGAGGGTCTGTTTCATCTTACGGGTACCTTTACAGCCGTTCGATATATTTCGATATATTTCGATACATTTCGATACATTTCGATACATTTCGAGATATTTCGAGAATGTCAAGATATTGTGAGATATTTCGAGGTCAAAGTCGGTTAAAGGAGAATTCTCCTATATCAGGATTTCTGCGTGCGCCAACTGGCTGAAAATTCCGAGATAAATTATTCCCCGATGTCATGGTTGCAGCAACGGCGTAATCCTGAAATGAACAATCCTGTCCAGTAAAGAACAATTTCATCAAGCCCACACCATCCCCTTTACTCCAGAGCGGTCTCTTAATTTCCATCAAGATAGTGCCCCCTTGGAAGTGGTAACGGAACTCAATGATCAGACGCCCCTTTCTCTCATTCCAATTTCTCGGTGGTTTTCCTTTTTCTCATGACTGCGGCTAGGGCGAAAAATTCGTTTGCATTTTAAAAGCCCCATCTCATCCAGGCTCCACCATTCCAAAAGAATTGCCCGCGCTAACGAGCCGATGCTTCAAAGTGGCGCGTTCACTCCCCCTGTCCCCTTCCCCCAACTTTTCGTTGTATTTTTCAGTTTAAGGAGGGGAAAAAGAGGGGGAAAAAGGGTGAGGCCATGGGTTATTAGCGCTCGTTAACGGACCTCTCGTGGAAAACGGTGTTTTCCATTGAGATAGGAATTATCGTATTCTGTCTTACCCTTTATTTTTTCCACTGGCAGTTTTTTGTCTGAATGATCTCTACTTTTTGCAGAGGGGATAAACAATTTTTACTCGGTAATTGGATTTTTTTGGGTGAAAAAGAGGGAGGGGGGTGGGGGTAGCATTACTATAGCTGCTGATGGGGCTTGAGGAATTTAAAACGTTTAAACAGGGAGAATTTAGAGGAGGCTGGTAAAGTGAGAAGAGGCGAATACATTTATTTTATTAATTATCAATTTATCAGGGGAAATAATGATTTTTGGGGAAAATCATCGGGAACTGTTCTTGGAGATTATTAATTTCTTCAGAAAAAAGGTCTTTTGAGATTTTTTGCCCTAGGCGTGAAAAATACTATTTCCACTTCAAAAAACATTTGGTTGAATAAAAATTTATTTATTTGATTCTGATTAATTTATTCCATGTGAAAATACAACAAATATTAACTATTTGTTTATTCATGCTCCTAATGAAAAAATAACAATGGTTATTGATAAAAAATGTATTATCCTTAATTAACCATTCCATAACCATCAAAATACATTTGCTTCATAAACAAGAAAGCTTCCTGTAAAAAAAAAATTGAATTCATCCCGGAGCAACAATTTTCAACAACTGAAAAGAATTAATGCATTTAATTCCAGCCAGCCATCAAATCCTTTGATTGAAATAAATGTTTCTCTATTCATCCACAGACAAATTAACCCCATATGCCATAAACTCCATGGAAAATGGTCGACAATTCATGCAACAACCCATACCCCAATATTCCACGACTACAGAGAGACATCCAGAATCTCTTAAACTTGACAACTCTGAATAATTCACCCCCTCCCCCTCCCCGACATTCGAGAACTTCTCGAGATTGAAGTACTGAGAAAACATATGTCATTACTCTCGCACCACCCCTGCAAATTGAGACGTCGCCCTTCAACCCTTAATCGTCGATTCGCGACGAATTAAAATCCCCGAAGAAAAGGGAGAATAATAAAACAAATTCCACAACCCTCACAGGGAGTTGATCCTCCCCTGCGCATGCGTACGTAGGTGTAGATGGCGCAGCGAATCGTCTCTTCGATTTTACACCCCCATACTTTAGCATCCCTCCTTACCCTCTCACCCCCATACTTTACTCCGGGTTCATCCCCCAACCCCTAACTCTGGCTGCCGCCTCTTTCAACCGCACTCGTCGAACTTTCGGCTGGAGGAGCCCATGAGGAACACTCGTGAGAGGGTGGGGAGGGTTATAAAGCGTACCCAGAGGTCTTTGCTCCCGTTTAATATTTCAGAACAGTCCAACCACCGATAGCCAAACGTACTGCACATCGTATATTTGCTATGAAAAAAAAAAATAGAAGAATTGAGTTATCTTGGAATTGTACACAACCGTTTTGCACGGAACAAAAGGAGAAGGGAAGTGGACGATTTTTGGGGTTTGTATGGGGGTGGGGTTTGAGACGGTTCAATTTGACCCATTCAATGGAACTCAGGGTATTTGATCACAATGCTCGATTATGAGGTGAATGCACTGTTACAGTAAACGACATTTCCTGGAGGGAATTCCAGCTGTACGATTTGAGCCGATGGTATTGAACCGTTACATTTGTGCCGTTCCATTTGACCCGTGCTATTTGACCCACTCAATTACTAGACGTTTGGCCCACGTTATTTTATTCGTTAATTTCAATTCGTTAAGTATAAACAAAGAAAATTGTGTATGGTAAATTCGGCTTGGATTGAATAATGGATCTTTACAATTTGATCCATTAACTCTGGAAATTTGGTCCACTATACTTGGCAAATTGGTCCACTGCAGCAAACCGCTAGATTGATTGCAGATTGATCGTCATAATTGACGTTGGGGAATACCCCACGTGAAATTAATTCATTTAATTGGACCGGAATTTTATCTGGTTAATTAAACTAACGCAATTAAGACAATTGATTTTAACCCATTTTAGTGGGTCTCAATTCCACTCGCAGTAATTGGAATGATCGAACCTGATACTCCACCAATTCAGATTCACCCACGTTATGTGGTCCACGGAGTTGAGTTAATTAAAGATAGAGATGATTCATCCCAGTAAATTGAACCCGTGGCATTAACTTCGTACTACTCAATGTCTGTTACCTAATTCCACCGTAACGGCTCGCTCTATCCAATTTTCACCTATTAATGGAATTTGACCCATTCAGTTGGTCCATTCTGAATTAATCCGTGGAATAAGTCCATTTTCCTGGAAGTCAATTTCACTCGCATTTCACAATTGACCGAGAATATTCGAAATGATTGCGATCGATTGATTCAACCCATCGAATTTGATCCACAATATTTAGTCCACAGACCGGATTAATTCAAAATACAGATGAACTGTTATAAATGGGACGCATCGCACTTCGTGGGTTTAGATATTTATTACTCAGTTTGATCTGTTATTTACGAAATTTAAGTCATTGGCGGTAAATTTTTAGGACAAGATTGAGGGGAAAAAAGGGGTGGGAAAAGGGAACAGATACGAGAGGAGTTATAAGACGGCTGAACACGGGATATTTTTTTGAAAAAAGAGCGGCAGAGAAGGTGTGGCTGGTGAAGACAGGTTCGAGAGGAAAAATGCAGACTCAAGGGCCAATACAAACCGAGATATATGTTTTGGGGGAAAATCGTTTTTCATAGTCTTTTCGACTTGCCCATACGGCGACTCGTAACGTATCCGCTTTTTTTTTTCAGGAATTAATGGACCACACGTGCACGTTATAAAGAGGGTGGGGATCGTTTCGAGTTGGAATATTTATGGTTAAGGCGGGAGGTTGGGTATTTTCCGTAATTCTAGGGAAATGAGAAAATTGAGTTTGAATTGAATTTCGGGAAATTGATGATTTTGAAATAGTGGATTTTTTTTTTCACTGCTCTTTCGCCCGGGAAGGGGTGGCGCAGGTTCAATGGATTCATTCATGTTGATTTCGTTTTTTCGGGGGACTTTTTTTTCATTGGGACGAAGGGGTGGGCTGGTTTATTCTATAACGCATTCATGCGTCAATTTCAATGGAAATTTACATTTTCAGAGAATTTTCAGAGAATTAGAGGGGAGGGACAAATGGGAGGTTATCAATTTTTATTTTTAGAAATGGTTTTACTATTCTCCAGTCACAATAATTTTTTATGGGAGCTGATGGTTTTTAAATAATTAAAAAATAATTTACGGCCAATTTTTTGGGATTAGATTGGTAGACTGGTAAATAAATTGTGACTGGACGAAAATGTCTTTTTTTGATTTTTTTTCAACAAATCTCGGGTAAAATAATTCATAATTAAAGTTGGCTCGAGGTTTTCAGGTCACATTACGATGAAAGAAAATTGATGAATTTGGGTGGGCTAGTGCGTCTTCCTGAATAAACCACATGGAGACATAAATATGGAAAGATGAGACTCATATGGAAGCCCGAAAAACACGGAATTGAAACACGTCCCTGGCTACCTCGCAGAATCAATAAAAACACACGTCGGATACACGTGTGGCGTTTGGGGACATGAAAAAAGTGGAAAACAGAGATTTAGCAAGTGGAAAAACCCCGTCAACTTTAAACATTTATCCAGCGATTTGGAGAATCTGGAAAAACTTGAAACTTTTCAGCAAAGTCATCAGGAAAACAATTGGGCAGAGCAAAAGAAGTTTTTATTTGCTGCAAATGGTCCAGTATTTTACGAGGAAAATATTTCGGTTGAAATTCGGGTACACGGAATGAAAAAATATATCGTAATCGCCTAGAAATCCTTAACAAGAATAATTGTTGTCCTCAGTCTTCACAACCGTTGTGGACGGAACAAACGGAGAAAAGATATGGATGATTTTTAGAATTTGTAGGTGAGTGGGGTTTGAGCCGGTTCAATTTGACCCATTCAATGGGACTCTGGGTATTTGGTCACAATGTTCGATTATGAGGTGAATGTACTGTTACAGTAAACGACATTTCCTGGAGGGACTTCCAGTTGTACGATTTGAGCCGATGGTATTGAACCGTTACATTTGTGCCGTTCCATTTGGCCCGTGCTATTTGACCCACTCAATTACTAGACGTTTGGCCCACGTTATTTCATTCGTTAATTTCAATTCGTTAAGTATAAACAAAGGAGATTTTGTGTGCTAAATTCGGCTTGGATTGAATAA